CCAATTCGCAATTTCACAATGCAATTTATACTATTTCACAATCTATTTCACAATTTCACACTATCAATCCAATTTCACAATATCAATTCACCTTCCAATTCGCAATTTCACAATGCAATTTATACTATTTCACAATCTATTTCACAATTTCACACTATCAATCCAATTTCACAATATCAATTCACCTTCCAATTCGCAATTTCACAATGCAATTTATACTATTTCACAATCTATTTCACAATTTCACACTATCAATCCAATTTCACAATATCAATTCACCTACCAAGTTTTCCTTGTGTGAGAATCTGCACTGTAAAACCTTCACATGGGTGCAACAAATAGAACCTACATCTGCAAAAAATGAAATATGATAATGCAGTTAGAATATGTGCTTTTATTTGGTCTGCTTGTTGAATAGCCATCACGCAAAAAATACAAATAAGAACAATTGAACAAAGGGCCAAAAATGTTCAGGTTCTCGAGCTCTCAAAGGCCAAATTGTCAAGCCAAGATGCAATTCATTCAAATTATCTGTCTACCCAAGTTGCAGTCAACCGAGGTCTGAGACTGAGAGGAAAGTGATACTCATTGCGAGCCTAAAAATACTGTTTTCTATATCTAATTACCTTCTTTAGAGGCGGCAGTTGGTGTGGTGGTGCCTGGCGGGAGGCGATGGCAGACGAAAGTTGCAGCCTGTGGACTTGGGTGGGGGAAGATTGGGGTTTCAACTTTGGGGATATTTGATACACTTATTGGGTCGGAGATTAAAGCCCCTAATTTAGGAGATGTCGGCGGCCACGGGTGGACTGGAAGTAGAAGTAGCCGGTGACGATGCAGGGGCGGAGTTTCCAGAGAAGGCGATTCAAGGGTTTGGTTTCATTTTGATTTCAATGAAACGAGTTATTCTAATGATTTGAATCAACAATCCGGGTCTGGGTCGGTAAACGGGTCATGGGTTGTGGGTAATTGAGCTTCCATTTGGGTTGGACATTTAATTAGGCTTTAAAAAAATTTTTGGGCATACTGGAGCCTAAAAGTTCAGTACGGGCGGGCTCTGCCCCTGCGAGCCATGGTTGCTGGAATGAGAAAGTGGAATTATCCGAAAATTAAAAAAATTCTTCAATTCAATAAACAAGATCGTCTAGATATTTACGTGTATGATACATTAAAAACAAAGGATTCGAATTTTTTACTAAATTCGATGATCAATTCTTTAATTAATTTTGAATCACGAACTTTCAAACTTTTGGAACACGAGCTTTCAACTTTTTAATTCAAAAAACTTGATATTTCAAACCTCTAAGTCTTCTATGATATATTCTCAGGAGTACACAGTTGGATGGGTACCTTCTTCTAATCAAATCAAGAAACTCATTCTTGGATTGAAAAAATAAGAAATAAGTATTTTCTCTATTTTCTCTCTCCTCAAATTTGAATACTATGAAATTATGTATTATAATTGTTGTAGGAATTCTAAATTTTATCTAGTATCAATTTATTAAGGTAGAATAGTTCCTATACTTGTACAATAATAATTTCACATTCAAATAGGAGTTTTAATTAAAATTCAAGTAGAAGGTTTAATTAAAGTCTAAATCTAATTAGTTTACATTTAGTTACATGTGTAGTCCTAAAACTTTAATTACAATTATAATTAAGTTTATAACTTTATAGTAATTATAACTAAGTACAAAATTTTATTATAATTACATTTAGACCCAAAACTAATATAATTATAGTAATTAAGTTCCAATACTTGCTACCATAGGGACCCAATCGGATATATATCATCTAGGCTTCAATAATTAGATCCTGTCTTGTTGATCTTAGACCATCCAATCTAATTAGATACTAGCATAAATGACTATTTTCTCATTCTAATTATTCTCACTAATTTAAGTATATTTTCCTTCAATAGCCCTGTGAACTAATCATATATGTCAAAATTTAGTCGTCGCTAAACATCGAACTCAGATTTAAGCATTCAACAGAAAATGCTTAAGTAGTTACTTTATACATTTTTCAGGACGACAGTTCTCAACACGAATTCATATTATCTATTTCGCTCATTCATAAGCTTCCAAAAGATTTGGATGAAATATACAACGATTAAGTGGAATGTAACTCTTCACATAGTCATGCTATAGAATTAAACCCAACATATGGTTTGTTAAATAAACTCCAAGTGTACTAGTTTAACTTTTAACTATTTCTGTGATAAGGATAAATTACAAACCTCAATACTGAATTGTTCAACACTACAACCTTTCAATAAAATATGTCAACCCTTATACATTAGTTGTGAACAAATTATTTATGATTAAAATATAAGTTGTGACATATTGTACTCTCAACGCAAGTGTCCAACTTATATTATCACAAGTAATCATAAGCACTTTAATTCATATGCTCAATAATAAATAAATAAAACCAAAATTTATTTGTTATAGATTATTATTTTATCATAACAAAATATACTATATTGGCACACAACCCAACAATGACTTGAGCCAGTGCACTAAATTAATATTCTTGCTAAATACAAAAAATAATAATTTTTTTAACTTCAATATGTCACATTGAATATATAAATTAATTATATTAATTAAAATAATATATAAAAATTATATGACATATTAAAAAGAAATATTCTCTTATTCTCAACTTCACAACTTATTATTGAAAGAGATGAAACTGGACAACTTCTTTTCTTAATTCTTCTCTTTCTCTAAGTACGCATATATTGCTTTTTGTGTGTCTCTAAGCTAAACTCAATCTCATCCTTGATCTTATGGAGTGCATACACTACATTTTTTAAAATGTTTTTCACTTTGTAGCAAAAAGTGGTTAAAGGTTACTACTGCTTGAAAGGCCCGTATTTAATAAATAATGGGTAAAACACAATTGTTATGAGGATCATGATCATCAAGATGATCATTAGGTATTCCATTTCTCTTTGAATTATCTCTTCATTAGTAGGCTTTTCCATTAGTGCGGCATTTTCACATGGATAATTCAAAAGAAGTTC